GACACGAATTATTGGAATTATAAGGGGAGAAATTCAATCGTACTACTGGCTTAGTAGGTCCAAAGTATAGATTCTTAGTCATAGACGTCGGATCATATGGTAAAAACAGCGATGGTAGAATATTTACAAATTCCGTCTTAGGCAAATTAATACATGAAAGTTAAAATTTCCCACCCCTAAACCATTAACTCTAAATTCAGAACCATTGACATATGTGGTTGTTGCAGATGAAGCTTTTCCTATGAAACTATTTTTAATGCGACCCTACAGCAAGAATGATTTTCGTAAAAATAAACCCGATATAATATTCAATTATCGGCTTACTCGAGAATGTCTTTGACATATTGAGATTAAAATGGCGTGTTTTTGCCGGTCCTATGTCAGTTCAACCACACAAGGTCGACAAAATTATTCTGGCAACATGTTGCTTACATAACTATTTAGGCACGGATGATTTGCCTTCAAACTGTGATTATTCACTACAGGTGAATTTAACAGAATCTACTGTCTTTTACCACTTAAATCCAATTCGTAGAAATTCCACACAGTATGTATGCTTTTTAGTAAAAAACTAATTCGAAGAACATTTTAGTACTGTAAGCGCCGTTCAGTGGCAACTTGATATTGTGAGGAAAGGTATACAAAATTATAAACATGCTACGCTCCCAAAAGTCACTACAGGGATATAGGCGTATACATTATCAATTTGTTTTGTATAATAAATAATATTTTTAATAAAACTTACCGTGTGTATTCATTTGCTTGACAATTTCTTCCCATGCATTATTTCTCACAGTATGATCCCTGTATATATCTAAATTCATGTCATATGGAACATGATATCGTTTTACCAACTCAATTAATTATTCGTCGGTTATTTCGCTAAATAAATGCAAAAAGTAATATTAATTTAGCATAAATTCATTAATTTTGCAAAAATTTTAAGAATACGGATGGGGTTAAAGAATGCATATATGCTCTGTAACAGTTCTCGAACGACTGAGGCGTATCACTCGGTGTTGCCGTGTTGTTTAGAAATATACCGCGCGCGCCGCGTCGGATAGCGTGTTTACATTACCATGGGCAACACACCGACCTGGCACGTCTGGATCGGGTGGAGTGTGCGCGCATGGCGCCGCGTCGGATGTTTACAGTGTGATTCTGATCTATAGAAAACAATATATTTGATTCGAATCAACACGCATAGCGTTTCATCGGGTCGCGTCGCGTTTTAATAATGCGTTCCGCAATAATGACTCACTATCCTTTACCTTTAAACGAGCAATTCTTGTATATATACATATATATATATATATATATAAAATCGGAATCTCGGAAACGGCTCCAACGATTTTCATAAAATTTTGTGTGCAGGGAGTTTCGGGGGCAATAAATCGATCTAGCTAGGATTTATTTTTAGAAAATGTCTTTTTGTCCGTGTTTTAAGGCAATCAAAAACTGCTACAATATCGTTAGAAGGTAAATTTTGACAGTTTATTAATGATTACAAATAGCTTAATTGGTATATTGGGCGGTCACAAAATCGTAACACCATGGTTCAAGCCGAGACCGACCGACCGACTTTTTTTTAATTTTTTTTTTCAAGTTCCTTTCTTTTTTGAGAAAATCTATTTTTTCGTGCCCTTTTTTTAGTATTTTTTAAAAGCACGAAAAATGAAATAAAACAAATTGCACTCATGATTTTTGTCGTAAAGCGACAATTAAAAAACTAAAGAACCTAACAACAACGAAACAACAAAAATAGAAAAAAACGAATAATTTATTTAAAATTTTAAAAGATATTTACAGTTTTATATAAAAAAATATGAGGATGATGATGGGTGACGTGAATTACAATTATTTTTTTTTTAAATAATAAAGATAAGTGAGTACTGAAACGGAGCCCGAAGATCGAAGTGGCACACCGCGCTTGGCAGTGGTGCTCACCGCTCACGGAGTATGCACAGGCTATGCCAGTGGTAGGTGCGCAGCGCCTGATCTAGGCACACGCAGCATCTGGAGAAGGCACATGCAGCGCTTGGAGTAGGCACACGCAGCGTCCGGAGTAGGCACAAGCAGCGCCTGGAGTAGGTACACGCATCGCCTGGAGTAGGCACACGCAGCGTCTGGAGTAGGCACCACAGCGCCTTGGTAGATACTCTCAGCGCATGAAGTAGGCGCTCGCAGCGCCTGGAGCAAGCACGCACAGCGGCTAAAGATAGCGCGGGTACTTGTAGGTGGAGGCGTAGACGTGGCTAGGCAAAGGCAAGGCTTGCAGGATCCCGGGGCAGTACGGCCCCGGGATAAGGCCGAGGAGATGCTTCTAGTTTAAAAGCTGAAGCGAGACTGACTTTATTGGCCAATTGTTCGGTTTTTATACTTTTTTTTAGAGAGCTCCACGCTCGACGACGGATCTGAGATAAGAACGGGAAATTATTTAAATTAAAAACAAATTTTTGTAAATGGCCAAGAAGAAAAGAGTATTTTTGTGGAAGTTTTGAAGTAAAAACATCAGACCGGTAACGAATTTGAATAAAAATTGCCATGACAACCAGATAAACAACGATGTCAAAACATGTCAAATTTTGGTTTCAGGCTCGTAATAGAGAAACGGCAAGATTTAAGTGAAAAATGAGATATTATTGATATAGAAAAAAAGGTAGCGCAACAGCGCGCACGAAGCCCGAAATTGCAGAGTTACGGAGAACTAAATAAAAGATCGAAAAAGGTAGACTCCATCGACACCGACCGATTTAAAAAGTGCTGATAGCGTGAAAATACGAAGTGAAAATGATTTGTTATTGCGTTCTTATGGTTTAAAAAACGTTACAAGATCCTATGGAAATAAAGGTGATGCAAAATATCCAGTTTTGAGGTGAATCCAGAAAATCAAAAACAGAATGGAAAATTAATTTAAAATAGTGTAAAATGATATGTAAGTAGCATAACACTACATTTTTTATTCGAATAACCAGTTCAGTTTTTTTCTATTATGTCGCTACGATCAAAAATATTATTCGTATTTCATCAGTATGTAATTTGTATCTAAATATAATTTCCAAAACACACGAATTAAAAAAAATACGAGCGAGAAATACCGAGCAAAGCTCGGTCAACCGGGTACTTTTCATAACGCGAACGAACTATAATGCCAGCTATACACACTCGCCTCAGCTAGGAGAGTGTGTATAGCTCGGTCAGGGCACACTGTCTACATACTCTTTGCATCAATTGAACTGCAAACATCGTTCTCCGCACCCGCCTTGATGGATCTGGAAATTGCTGCTGTTTTTGTTTTTGTGCTGTTAGCTACTATAATTATTTAAAATATACCACATAAAAATCAAATCCTAAGTCGTGGCAAAAAATATGGTGGATGTTTAACTATGCACCGCAATAAAACCGGGTAATTATTTATATTATATATGTGCAATAAAATAAACAAGTGTGTACATGTTCATTCTTATTTACCTCTCGAGAGCTAACGAGACCCCTGGTTATAATGCTTAAACAAGTGGGAGTTTAGAATTCTACGCTCACTTCTTTGCATTTTCTTTTATTTCTACCTTCGTCTCTAACACTTTTAATAATGACATTCGTGGTTACATTATTTCTTTGCATAAGTTCAAAGCAAATGTAAAAATCATTTATATTAAAATCATATTAAGATTCGCATGGATATGAAGGAATATATAGAAATCAATTAAGATTATTTATATATTATACTCTAACAACCCGCCACGTACTCGTAGATTAGATTAGATTTTTAAGCCATTAGATTTTTCAATAATGGACAATGATGATCATTTTATCAATTTCACATAGGTAAAAATTACATTTTTTTTGGACGAAATATAGTTTTAATTACTCCTGGCGCTGCTTTCAATCTGTTTGAGAAGTTTTACCATAATCGGTTCAGCCATTCTGAAGATTATCCGGGCCAGACAAACAAAAATTTTATTTAATTTCTCAATGGCATGCTAATAACCCCCTAGCTAGATAAAAGGCAGTTATTTTGATATTACAGACGGACACCTCAATTATATATATAAAGTTAAAAGTTACAGCCTATATACATATACGTCCCACTGCTGGGCACAGACATCCCCTCATTCCGAGGGTTTTAGGGCAAAGAAGTGTCCGCCGCGCTGCCCCAATGCGCGAAAAAAATTTTTTTCTTATTCCTCAGACATGCAGGTTTCCTCACGATGTTTCCTTCACCGCCAAGCACGTGATAATAATATATATATATATATTATATATATATATATATATATATATATATATATACTAGCTTGCGAGGCAGACGTTGTTCTGCCCTTTTCAATGATCCTTTGTCCTGTCCTATTAAAAATCCTTAATTCGTAAAAAAATTGTGGATCACTCATGCTTGTATTTTAAAATACGTTTTTATATGATTCATTTTCTTGTTCTTCCGTTTTAAGTTTTAAGAGTACTCGTATCGTCTGACTACAATGCTATTTATTTTTTATATTCGTTTGTACATGAGATTTCGAAGAATATATATCTAGGATTAGACATTAAAGCGAATATCTTTGTCAGCATCATCATATTCATCATCAACATTACAGCCCTTCACAAGTTCACTGCTGTGTTTATAATAAAGGCTATGTACATCTGCATACATCAAGTTCCTCAAAGTCTTACCAGATCGGCACTTTATTGGTAGGGCTTGTGGGCTGCCCTACACTTAAAAGATGCTGCTACACGAAAACCCTTCCTACTCATCGATTGTCAGTTCTTTGAGATGTATTTTCTCATTTATCATCATTCATTAATTTCACCTCGGCTTATAATCCATTCACCACTGAGTTTCTCACACGACCAATGGTAATATATCTGAGATGTGATTATTGAATATCTTTAATAATATGTTTTATTACTTCACTATATAAATAAAAAAGGAAATGTGCGGTCATAATATAATTTTAATAATTTTCTATCATTAACACTTTAAGTTAAAAACAAGTAACATTAATTTATACTGCAGCTTCGTCAGAATCATGGTTTACAAAAGTTGTGCGTTTCATGGTAAAGACGTTCATGAATTCAATTTCACTATTGTCATCTACTCGTAATTTGACTGCTCCTTCTGGGAAAAATCGACTAGAAAATGTGATCTCACCATCACCAAAGAACAGTTCAACTGAGCTTGCATCAATATAAATTTTTAAATATAATTTCTTTTGTGGCCTCCACTTTGTACGTCGGATACCGTCTTTATTGCCGCGGTTAAGAGTTACAAGACCCTTTTTATAATCGTAACTTATAATCACTTGGTGATACTCACCTTCTGATTCAATTAGTAATCTTAAATCCTTGTCCTTAGGCGCTCTAATATTAATTTCACCAGCTTTATCTTCCAGTGTAACTACTGTACCAGAACAAGCTCTGCCTGAATAAAGAGGTCGACCCCTAGCCAAAGTGATTTCCTTTACTGGCTTTTGTATGAGTCGATTATCTTTTGAAAGAGATAAAACTCTAGGAATTGTCATTTGACCAGTCCACCCATCACGTCCCTCGGGGTATGATTGCTCCCACATATCTAACCAAGCGATTACTATTCTGCGTTTTGATTTATCTAATAATGTTTGTGTGGCATAGAAATCATGACCATGGTCTAATTCAATAAAGTCTGTTCTAGGGGTAAATACGTTGGTAATGTAATCAAAATCACCAACTATATAACCAGTTTGATATAAATTTCGGAATTTATCACCAAATGGTTTCATACCTTGAGGAGATAATAATAAGACAAAGCGACCATCAAGCTCAAAAAAATCTGGACATTCCCACATATACCCAAGTGATCCGTCAGATTCGTCCAAAACGGAAGCAAAACTCCAATTTATCATATTTTTTGAAGTGAACAAAATTGCTCTACCAAGAGTAGCATTACTCTCAATGTCCTTAAATGAGTTTCCACAAACCATATAATACGTGTCCCCGTGTTTCCAAACCTTTGGATCCCGAAAATCAGGTTGAAATTTTGTACCATTTATTATTGGATTATTTTTGAATTTTTTAACTCTCACTCCATCAAAACTTGCAGCACCAGCTTGAATCTGCTTGTGGTCAGGATCTTGTCCAGGAAAATTAACATTTCCGGTGTAAAAAATAAACATTTTATCATTTTCCACTATAGCACTGCCTGAAAAAACTCCCGACTTGTCATACCATTTATCTGGATACATAGCAATAGGAAGATGTTCCCAGTGAAATAAGTCCTTACTTTTAGCATGTGCCCAATGGGCTATACCAGGTTCAAGGCTACTATTAGGGTTAAATTGATAAAACAAGTGAAATTCATTTTTGTACTCACTGAAACCATTGGGGTCATTCATCCATCCGAAGGGTGGAGCCAAGTGGTAGCGCGGGTAAAATCTATCGTTGACGCTACCTTTAACTCTGAAACAAAACAAGATAAATAGAAAAAACTTGATTAATAACGCTGTCATGTTTCTTCATTACTAACGACGACAGTGGCTGAATGACCTTATTGTAACAGGTTTTTACGCTGTTATATAGTCACAATGTCATGTCGTATCGAATTGTCATTATACTCGGTGCCTTTGTATGAGATAAAGATATTGAAAACTTATTTTCACATGCAAATTATACATATGACACAGTAAAATACATAAATATTTGCTTTAAGATCGTTCAAATACGAGTATTTCGGTTCTGCGATATTGAAAACGAAATACTCTCATTATTATCATGTATTTCATATTCAGGCAACAAAAGAAAGTGGTGATAACGTTTATATGCCGCAAGCAACCTTATTTTGCTTCCCAATATCACAATACAATTTTGTTAGGGTCATTACTATCAACTTTAAATTAAAATCTTGATTTATCAATTTGATTGATTTATCAAGATTTTAAGTTAATTAATTTATTTATTTATTTATTTGATTATTATGCATAACGTGTGTGTTTTACAATTGTTATAAAAAATATAGTACAACACATTAACCATTTCTGATGTACAAAATGATAGAAAATTTAAAAACATTAAGTATTATTAAAAATGGAATAAATATACACATTAAACGATGCCATAGTAAAAGTATTTCGGCTTCACAGCCTACCGTAGAAATTCATGACTCTTCTGGTAATATACCTAATGACACAAATTCTTCACTTTTTTCGGAACAATTATACAATTTGTATAGTAACGTACCAGTGGTTAAAAGAATTCCCAGAGGTGCGAGGATGCAACTTGCTAAATTCACTATTCAAAATTGTGTAACGAATTGTGAAAAGAGATTATGCCCATTTTCATTTTTATAAAACAATAAATAAATCAATTACGTCTCAATCAAAAGAAAGTTCTTTTCAAAATTTGGATTACCCGATTAATACTCATTTCTCTCGACCTTATCCTAAATTTAATTTTAAAAAAAGTAGTTGAATCAAAAGTAATGGACGGCGACTTAAAAAATGCATCCCGTATTCTATTTTCAGATGACATCCTCGCTCCTCGTAGTGTCGAAACTCTTGAAGGCCTTCGTCAGAAACATCCTTCGGTCAATCCTTCCCAGAATTTACCGCTGACTCCCAATACTTCTATGCAACCTTTAGAAATTTCTGAAAAAGACACTTTAGACACAATATTGTCATTTTCGAATGGCTCTGCCGGCGGCATTGACGGGATTACGCCTCAGCATCTCAAAGATCTTGTAAGCGTATCTGCCGGTGACGCCGATAGGGTACTTCTTAATGACATTACAAAATTATGTAATTTTATGCTTTCTAGTAATGTCAATCCCAATTTCATTCCCTACTTATATGGGGCAAGAATTGTGTGCCTTCAAAAAAAAGGATAACGGTATCCGTCCTATTGCTGTTGGTTCTACATTTCGACGCTTAACTTCAAAATTAGCTTGCAGGCACATAATCTCAAACCTTAAGACAAAATTTCAACCTACTCAACTAGGCTTTGGCACCAAAGGTGGCTGTGAGGCGGCGGTACATTCGGTGCGTACTTTCTTAACTAATTCCAATGCAGATTTTCTTCTGAAGGTTGATCTTAGAAATGCTTTTAACTCTATTGATAGGATAACCCTGCTGAAAGAAGTGGCTAACAATACCCCTGAAATATATTATTACGTTTGGCAATGTTACAGTCAAATTTCAAACTTGTTTTATTAAAACCGTATTATTGAGTCGCTGTCGGTGTTCAGCAGGGTGATTCATTAGGTCCAGCTCTTTTCAGTTTGGGAATTCAACCTATTATTTCAAAGTTAAAATCCAAGCTGAATATCTGGTATCTGGACGACGGTACACTGGGAGGTAAAGCAGATGACGTCCTCAATGATCTTACTCATATTTTTCAAAATTTTAAAAATATTGGTCTTGAACCAAATACCAATAAATGTGAAATATTTATTTCTAATAATTTATCTAATTCTAACAGAGATACCTTAATTCAAAATTTCAATCAGATTTCTCCAGAAATAAAAACTGTCAATTCGTAATCGCTTTACCTGCTCGGTGCTCAGCTGTTTTTCGATAGTATTAAACCTGTTTTAAAAACAAAATTTGATCAATTTCTAAATCACGTTGATAAATTATATATTTTAAACCCCCATATTGCCCTTACCATTTTAAGATATTGTCTTCTTGTACCTAAATTTACATACTTGTTACGCTCAAGTCCAGTCTGGAAATGTTCGGATATTTTAAAAGATATTGATAGTAATCTTAAAAAGGCTTTAGAAAAAATTCTAATTTTGAGATTAAATACAATAGCCTGAAATCAAGCCACTTTACTTATCAAATTTGGTGGTATTGGTGTAAGAACTATTTCTAGCGTCACATTGCCTGCTTTCCTTGCTTCCATGCATAATGTCAATGATCTATATAACACAATTTTAAATAATAAAGTAGACCTATGCTTTGCTGCGGAGGCAAGAGAGGTAAAGCCCTAGTGTGGGATGCTACTTGCATTGACACTTTGGCGGCCTCTCATCTCAGGGGTACCTCTTTAAGAGCCGGGGCGGCATCAGAGGCAGCTGAATTTAGTAAATGGCGCAAATATGAGTATTTGTGCCATTTGCTGTAGAGACTATCGGTCCGTGGGATCCACACGCAGTGAAGTTTCTAAGGGAACTGTATCCACGACTGGTCGTTGCTGCTGGTGATATGAGGGCTGGTTCTTTCCTCGCTCAAAGGGTAAGCTAAAGCCTATAACTATTCAGCGAGGAAACGCAGCCAGCGTTCTTGGCACTATACCACGGGGAGCAGGTCTTTTTGACTATTTAAATTTTTAGTTTTAGATCTTCTAGTTTTAATCGTAAATATTATAATTTCAATTATTATTTTAGTTAAGTTCATTATTATAATTTTTGTAATAGCATAATAATATATATAATTTTAGTATTATTAAGTACAATAAGGATTAAAATTACAAAAAAAAACATTGATAATAATTAACCAACAAAAAACATAAAAATAAACTAAAAAGTGAACCAATAAAACAAAAACATTTACTATTATTTGCATTATCACATCATTAATATTTTTATTTTCATGTCATACATCATATATTAAGTATATATTAAGTATTACAATATTCTATCATATATTAAGTATATCATACATCATATATTAAGTATATATTAAATATGAAATAGTCATACAGTATATATTAAGTATTAAAATATTATTATTAAAAAATGGTCCAAAGTTTATAGATATTGTTTTTCCAACAACTCACTAACCGAATAAAAATATTTATTAAATAGCCACTTTTTCAACTCGTTCCTGAAACTCTTCCTTGGTTGTAGTTTTATGTTACTGGGTATAGAGTTAAATATTTTTATGCACATTGCATAGCATTTCTTATGATAATTAACCGTTTTTGGTATTTTATCAAGGCTAATTTATCTGGATGCCTCATTTTTGATCTGATAATATCTTCAGCAGTTATAAACAGCTCGGGGTTATTTTTAACAAATTTTGCTGTTTCGAGAATTTATAATGCACGGAAGTGTTAGCACTTTCAAATCTCTAAATATTGATTTGCACGACTCATGAGGGGCCATATTACATACTGCACGTAGACATTTTTTTTTCACAATAAAAACTTTATTGATGTCTACAGAATTTCCCCATATTATTATACCGTAGCCAAGTATACAATAAACGTATCCTTAATACGCCATGAGAGCTGTTGATTACGATGCCGTCTTTGTAAGGTTCCGTAGTAAGTAATAAAGCGGTTAAGTTTATTACATACTTTTTCTATGTGACTTTTCCAGTTACAAAATGCATATATATGTATACCGAGAAAGGAATTTTTTTACTTGTTTTATTTGTTCGCCATTGTATACAATATTTAGCTTTGTTTCATAATTTTTTTTATTATAAAATTGTATTTTCTAACCATTCAATTATTAATTTCAAAGAATCATTAATGTCATTCACAAATTTACTAATGTCAGATTTTTTGTTACATGTCAATAGCATGGCAACATCATCTGTAAATAAAGTCAATAAATTATTTGTTACGTAAGAAATGTCATTAATATACAATAAAAAGGTAAATGATAAAAAAGGTATTAAAGGTCAAGAATGGTTCCAAGAATAAGCCCTTGATTAAAAGCTTCTATTATTAATTGTAAAAAATAATGCTATCCTTAAAAAATACGTCTCCAAGAATACTTCAAAGGGCAATTCCCAATTAAAGCGACTATTAAAATAAACGGACATAATGACAAACGCTACAGTCGTGTTGCACGGAAACGTAAGTTACTGAATAATAATTAGTAGATACAGTCAACTATAAAAAGCGAGTGACGTAAATCGATGACACATGGCGGATACGAATTAACTATAGCATATTATCTTAACCATTACGCTACAGAAGTTAATTTCAAGTATTCAGATCCAAATACAGAAAAATGAAACACATAAAATGGCCTTGGTGTCTGTCTATCGGACTCGTATTTGTCACAATGGTTTTTCTATATTATGTAAAATTATCTATTAAAGTATTGTTGGAATTATTATGATAAATAAATTTAAATAATTAATGAAAATCTTTTCAAGTACCATTTAATAATGTACAATTCATTATTTTGCTTTCAATTTAATTTGACATTTGCAGAATTTTAATCAAAATTGTTGTCCAACCCAACATACCCTTCACTTTAATGAAAAGAAGATAATGAAAAGGAGAGAGGCTGATGCAGGACCATTAATTGTGCTTATTTTGGCTCTTGAATGATTTTTCAAAAAGTAAGGTGGGCTGGAATATCGGCTAATTCTGTCGGTTCAGTTCCCTATAAAAAAAAAGGACCGTTTTACGTTCAGCCGTGGGACGTTTGCCTGTTGCT